CAAAAATTTTTAAAAAATTCCTGGAAATATCAGAAATTGCAAAATTCGCAAAAATTCCTGAAAATTGCAGAAATCGCAAAAATTCCTGAAAATTGCAAAAATTCCTGAAAATTGCAAAAATTGCAAAAATCCTGAAAATTGCAAAAATTTCTGAAAATTGCAAAAATTGCACAAATTCCTGTAAATTGCAAAAATTCCTGAAAATTGCAAAAATCGCAAAAATTCCTGAAAATTGCAAAAATTGCAAAAATTCCTGAAAATTGCAGAAATCGCAAAAATTTCTGAAAATTGCAAAAATTCCTGAAAATTGCAAAAATTGCTAAAATTCCTGAAAATATCAGAAATTGCAAAAATCGCAAAATGCCTGAAAATTGCAGATATCGCAAAAATTCCTGAAAATAGCAAAAATTCCTGAAAATTGCAAAAATTGCAAAAATTCCTGAAAATTGCAAAAATTGCAAAAATTCCTGAAAATTGCAAAAATTTCTGAAAATTGCAAAAATCGCAGAAATTCCTGAAACAAAAATTGCAAAAATTCCTGAAAATATCAGAAATCGCAAAAATTCCTGAAAATATCAGAAATAGCAAAAATCGCAAAAATGCCTGAAAATTGCAGAAATCGCAAAAATTTCTGAAAATTGCAAAAATTGCAAATATTCCTGAAAATCGCAAAAATTGCAAAAATTCCTGAAAATTGCAAAAGTTGCAAAAATCGCAAAAAAGCCTGAAAATTGCAGAAATCGTAAAAATTCCTGAAAATCGCAAAAATTCCTGAAAATTGCAAAAATCGCAAAAATTCCTGAAAATTGCAAAAATTGCAAAAATGCCTGAAAATTGCAAAAATTTCAAAAATTCCTGAAAATCGCAAAAATTGCAAAAATGCCTGAAAATTGCAAATATCGCAAAAATGCCTGAAAATTGCAGAAATCGTAAAAATTCCTGAAAATCGCGAAAATTCCTGAAAGTCGCAAAATTCCTGAAAATTGCAAAAATCGCAAAAATGACTGAAAATAGAAAAAATCGCAAAAATTCCTGAAAATTGCAAAAATCGCAGAAATTCCTGAAAATTGCAAAAATTGCAGAAATTCCTTGCAAAAATTGTGAAAATTCCTGAAAATATCAGAAATCGCAAAAATTGCAAAAATTCCTGAAAATATCAGAAATATCAAAAATCGCAAAAATGACTGGAAATTGCAGAAATCGCAAAAATTTCTGAAAATTGCAAAAATCGCAAAAATGCCTGAAAATTGCAGAAATCGCAAAAATGCCTAAAAATTGCAGAAATCGCAAAAATTCCTGGAAATTTCGAAAATTGAAAAAATTTCTGAAAATTGCAAAAATCGCAGAAATTCCTGAAAATTGCAAAAATTCCTGCAAATTGCAAAAATTGAAAAAATTTCTGAAAATTGCAAAAATTGCAAAAATTCCGGAAGATTGTAAAAATTCCAGAAAATATCAGAAATATCAAAAATTCCTGAAAATTGCAAAAATTCCTGAAAATTGCAAAAATTCCTGAAAATTGCAAAAATCGCAGAAATTCCTGGAAATTGCAAAAATTGCAGAAATGCCTGAAAATTGCAAAAATCGCAACAATGCCTGAAAATTGCAAAAATCGCAAAAATTTCTGAAAATTGCAAAAATTGCAAGAATTCCGGAAAATTGTAAAAATTCCTGAAAATTGTGCAAAAATCGCAAAAATTCCTGAAAATTGCAAAAACCCAAAAATTCCTGAAAATATCAGAAATTGCAAAAATCGCAAAATGCCTGAAAATTGCAGAAATCGCAAAAATTCCTGAAAATAGCAAAAATTCCTAAAAATTGCAAAAATTGCAAAAATTCCTGAAAATCGCAAAAATTTCTGAAAATTGCAAAAATCGCAGAAATTCCTGAAACAAAAATTGCAAAAATTCCTGAAAATATCAGAAATCGCAAAAATTCCTGAAAATATCAGAAATAGCAAAAATCGCAAAAATGCCTGAAAATTGCAGAAATCGCAAAAATTTCTGAAAATTGCAAAAATTGCAAATATTCCTGAAAATCGCAAAAATTGCAAAAATTCCTGAAATTTGCAAAAGTTGCAAAAATCGCAAAATTGCCTGAAAATTGCAGAAATCGTAACAATTCCTGGAAATCGCAAAAATTCCTGAAAATTGCAAGTCGCAAAAATTCCTGAAAATTGCAAAAATCGCAAGAATGCCTGAAAATTGCAAAAATTTCAAAAATTCCTGAAAATCGCAAAAATTGCAAAAATGCCTGAAAATTGCAAATATCGCAAAAATGCCTGAAAATTGCAGAAATCGTAAAAATTCCTGAAAATCGCGAAAATTCCTGAAAGTCGCAAAAATTCCTGAAAATTGCAAAAATCGCAAAAATGACTGAAAATAGAAAAAATCGCAAAAATTCCTGAAAATTGCAAAAATCGCAGAAATTCCTGAAAATTGCAAAAATTGCAGAAATTCCTAGAAATTGCAAAAATTGTGAAAATTCCTGAAAATATCAGAAATCGCAAAAATTGCAAAAATTACTGAAAATATCAGAAATATCAAAACTCGCAAAAATGACTGGAAATTGAAGAAATCGCAAAAATTTCTGAAAATTGCAAAAATCGCAAAAATTCCTGAAAATTGCAAAAATCGCAAAAATGCCTAAAAATTGCAGAAATCGCAAAAATTCCTGGAAATTTCGAAAATTGAAAAAATTTCTGAAAATTGCAAAAATCGCAGAAATTCCTGAAAATTGCAAAAATTCCTGCAAATTGCAAAAATTGAAAAAATTTCTGAAAATTGCAAAAATCGCAGAAATTCCTGAATATTGCAAAAATTCCTGCAAATTGCAAAAATTGAAAAAATTTCTGAAAATTGCAGAAATTCCTGAAAATTGCAAAAATTGCAAAAATTCCTGAAAATATCAGAAATCGCAAAAATTGCAAAAATTCCTGAAAATATCAGAAATATCAAAAATCGCAAAAATGACTGAAAATTGCAGAAATCGCAAAAATTTCTGAAAATTGCAAAAATCGCAAAAATTACTGAAAAGAGCAAAAATTCCTGAAAATTGCAAAAATCGCAGAAATTCCTGAAAATTGCAAAAATTGCGAAAATACCTGAAAATTGCAAATATCGCAAAAATGCCTGAAAATTGCAGAAATCGCAAAAATTCCTGAAAATCGCAAAAATTCCTGAAAATTGCAAAATTCGCAAAAATTTCTGGAAATTGCAAAAATTGCAAAAATTCCGGAAAATTGTGAAAATTCCTGAAAATTGTGCAAAAATCGCAAAAATGCCTGAAAATTGCAAAAATTGCAGAAATAGCAAAAATCGCAAAAATTTCTGAAAATAGCTAAAATTGCAAAATTTCCGGAAAATTGCAAAAATTGCAAAAATTACTGAAAATTGCAAAAATTCCTGAAAATTGCAAAAATTGCAAAATTTCCTGAAAATTATAAAAATTGCAAAAATGTGCCTATTTATATTGGAAACTAATATGTGAAATCTCTCTTGATCTAAATGTATATACTAGGAATGAAAATAATATTAAACTACCTATACCAAAGACATTACTTACCAAAAATTCGGTGATTTATGAAAGCAGAAAAATTTATAATCATCTGCCACAGCATTTTAAAGCAATAAAAATTCTGAAAATATTCAGAAGAAATGTTGTGGATTCATATAGGTATTTCAGCAAGATCTTCTATTATATCACACAATGGAAATCCACTAGAATAATTTTAAAACATGCTTTGTCAATAAGGACTATTATTCTTGGACAATAAAGAGTATTGATGTGAAACAAGTAGACAAGTCAGTATATACAGGGTGTCCCATAAGTGATGGATGGAAAGAAGTGGGGTGGTAGGGGAGGTGATTTGCAATCAAACCATTTGCAAAAAATTAATAACAAAAAGGTTGTTTTGAATAACCCCATATGTTATACCATTTCAGAATCTGTATCAAAAGGGCAACTTTTTCATATTATTGGATTTCTTTATGGGGTAATTTTTTAATCTGCCAGGAGCTTTTAAAAATCAACTTGAATATTTCATATAAGAAGTAACACATGTCATAAAAAATATTTCTTGGGAAAGGTGCATCCATGTGGATAAAATTTGTAAAAGAAAAAATCATGTATGTGACATAGTTTCATTGTAATTAATTTATTTTTTTATAGAAATGAAAATAATTTAATAAATTTTGAACCATCAACAATTGGACAACAATATATATGGTTATATTGATTGGAAATGTTCCCCCCTGTATACCCCAATATCCCACATTATTGCAATTCTCAAAGTCAGCAGCTTATCAACTGCAGTTGCAATGTAAATTTCATAGTAATAATCATCCACAAAATTTGTTTGATACCTTCTGACTTTTTCTTGATTCATTTCTAAATAAAAGTTACCCTTCCTGTTCCTGCCAGTAGGGTGAAACATGACAATCCCACTAACCTTACACAACTCTTCCAACTGTAGAGCATAGATGCAAGCCTTCCTGAGTTTCTGAATAAGATGAAACTTCTTTCTAGGCTCAGTATTAGCCTCCTGCCTCAGTTGCATGGCATATGCCCAGCACCTCTCTGACAGTATCAGGGGAACATGCAAAAACCTCTCATCCGACCTGATATTCATCACGTGGGCCTCCGTAACATCCCGCTTCTTGAAGTGTCTTCTGTCCCCTTGAGGCAATTTCAGGACCTTTCGAAGCCTGCCAATTCTCCTGGAACAGTAGCCCCTGTATCTCTGGTAGTCGCCGTGTTTCAAGCCGTGTTGTTGCTGAGCATCTTTGATTAAATTCAGGACTGGAAAAGCAAACAGATGTTAGGTGGATCTTTAATCTTCAGTTTAAGTTGACATACTTTCAACAGTAAAAGGTTTCAGTGGGACGGTTTCGGGTTTAACTTTAGCTGATACATCTTCCGGAGGGATGTTTTCAACAGGATTTTCAACAACCACCATGATACAATTCAATTAAAAAAATTTAAAAGTGGAAACTCAACTCTGGATGATGAAAACGTCAACACAAGTTACAGGTTAGATTGGATGTCAAAATGTCAATAAAAAGTGTCTAAGTCTACCGGCAGTTGGTAAAAATATTACTTACGTGAAGTGGGCTGCCAAAGCTGGTTGCCAGAATTTCCGAACTTTTCCGATTGACCAGTGGTACGCGTTTCCCCCTTTATAAAATATATTCAACGTCCGTAACTTGATTTTGCTACATAGCCGCTTTCTCTCCGGATAGTGTATTTTCCAGTAGGCATCTTCCACATTTTCAATTACGTACGTGGGTTATATTAAGGACCTTGAAGGCCAAACGATGTGCTGCTCGGATCTAAAACTGATAATCAATTTCAAATTTGAATCGTGAGACCTACATAGAATATTGGATATTGTTTTCAAAATTCGGAACTGGAACGCGATATATTTTTGTAATTCATCAATTCATCAACTACCTCAATGAAGACGAGACAGGCAGATAAACAACAATTTTCTCTGCAATGAAGAACACTGTATATACCTAACCCACCATGCGTCTACCTCCTTTGCAGAGAGGGTTTATAAACGCCGAGTTGATACTCTCCCCTCGTAAGGGTACCTGTCGTGTTTCCATAGAGACATAAAGCTGAATATCTGTCTATCTGTCTGCTTGAGAATCTGGAAAGGTAATCAATATATCGCCTTCCGTACGAATATAATGATCTGAATTCTGTAAAGTATACTCTGGTCAGTTCTCTTTGCGGATCTTCTGTTCGGTCCGTATTCACTGGATGGTTTTCTCCGATTGAGTGGCAAGTATCAAACACTGCTTCTTGAATCTGCAACTAAACATCACATTCAAATCGCAATACATTTGAATCAGAAATTATCATTAGAGGAAATACATATAGATGTTGAATCTGAGACATACCTGAATAATATTTTCAACGTCCGTTACTAGATTGCTACATATCCGATTTCTTTCCGAATAGTGTTTTTTCCAGTAGACATATATCTTCCATATTTTCAATTACGTTTATATTACGGTTATATCAAGGACCTTGAAGGCCAAACGATGTGCTGCTCGGATCTGAAACTAATAATCAATTTCAAATTTGAATCGTGAGATCTATTGGATAATTGTTTTCAAAATTCGCAACTGGAACGCGATATATTTTTGTAATTCATCAATTCATCAACTATCTCAATAATGAAGACGAGACAGGCAGATAAACAACAATTTTCTCTGCAATGAAGAACACTGTATATACCTAACCCACCATATGCGTCTACCTCCTTTGCAGAGAGGGTTTATGAACGCCGAGTTGATACTCTCCCCTCGTAAGGGTACCTGTCGCGTTTCCATAGAGACATAAAGCTGAATATCTGTCTATCTGTCTGCTTGAGAATCTGGAAAGGTAATCAATATATCGCCTTCCGTACGAATATAATGATCTGAATTCTGTAAAGTATACTCTGGTCAGTTTTCTTTGCGGATCTTCTGTTCGGTCCGTATTTTCTAGATGGTTCACTCCGATTGAGCGGCAAGTATCGAACACTGCTTCTTGGATCTGCAACTAAACACCACATTTAAATCGAAGTACATTTGAATCAGAAAATATCATTAGAAGAAATACATAGATGTTGAATCTTAGACATACCTGAATAATATTTTCAACGTCCGTAACTGGATTGCTACAAGTGCTACATATCCTCTTTCTTTCCGTATAGTGGTTTTTCCAGTTGGCAAGTTTCACATGTTCAATTATGTGGGTTATATTGAGGACCTTGAAGGTCAAACAATGTGCTGCTCAGATCTAAAACTAAGTATCAATTTCAAATTTGAATCGTGAGGCCTACATAGAATATGAATCTATGAAAAGTCTGGATATTTTCAACATTCATAACTGGAACGCGATATATTTTTGTAATTCATCAATTCATCAACTATCTCAATGAAGACGAGACAGGCAGATAAACAACAATTTTCTCTGCAATGAAGAACACTGTATATACCTAGCCCACCATGCGTCTACCTCCTTTGCAGAGAGGGTTTATAAACGCCGAGTTGATACTCTCCCCTCGTAAGGGTACCTGTCGTGTTACCATAGAGACATAAAGGTGAATATCTGTTTTATCTGTTTTCTTGAGAATCTGGAAAAGATATCAATATATCGCTTTCCGTACGAATACAAGGATCTGAATTCTGGGAAGTATTCTCTGGCCATTTTTTTTGGGGATTTTTCGTTCGATTCGTCGTTACTGGATGGTTTTCTCTGATTCAGTGACAAGTTCCACCACTTTGCTTCTCAGATCTGCAAATGAACATGACATCAAATATCGAAGTCCATAAAATTTAATACTGATCTTCATGAGAGGCGGAACATGGATGTTGAATCTGTGAAACATACCTGAATAAAATTTTCAACATTCGTAACTGGAACGTGATATATTTTTGTAATTCATCAATTCATCAACTATCTCAATGAAGACGAGGCAGGCAGATAATGAACAACACTTTCCCCTGCAATGATATACTGCAATACTGCAAAAACAATCCTCCATTTCCACTCATGAGGTAACGTTGTCAAGTCACCAATTATAATCAATTTATCATAAAGATTGGAGTCCTGTCGTTGGATTTAACACGAAATAAAACATAATAAGAGTGAGCCATGATCATTCTTGACTATTTCGAGCAACCAGCATGTCTGTATATCTCTTGTACCCAATAACAAAATATCATGTTGATGTTGAAGACTTGGCAACAATGTGCTAAATGCTGAGAACCTCCCACAATTCGTGCACCGGGTTGTCACGTTTACCCTCAAATATCCTCTAATGTGAATTGATATAATGATATCAATATTAATACAAATTATAAACAATAAGCCACAACAGATGAGGGAAAATCGGTTGGGAAGGAAAAAATTTACGACTGCAAAACCTAAAAGTTAATTTTTCGATATCACTCTGTAAGTAAAAGGGATAATAAGACAATTCGAAAAATGTCTCAAGGTAATCTGCTGTCAAAGTTGAAAAAAAAAAGTTTTCGTTCATTTGGAATCCTTTTGAAAATTCAAAATTTTTTCACAGTTTCAGGTAACACCCTGTAGCGAGTTTATATGAAGAACTTCATGTTTTAAAGAAGTACGAGCTTATAGCTGAAGGACTGCGAACAGTGTGAACCAAATTTAAATTGTTCAAAGCAGAAAAAAAGTCATTCATATTTTAACAGGGGGTTGAAATTTTATGAGTAATCACCTTATCCAGGAATGCGGGCTGGATATAAATATAATAAACCATAGGAAATTATACAATTAGTACAAGGTATTTCGAGACAAATTTCCAATCTGAGTATATGGATAATAATAAGAGTTTGACAATTCGTGTATGACCATTTCAGATAAATTTTGACAACTTCGAAAATTTCTCTGTGAAAATTGGCAGTTGCGGTACCTAGCCTAGCACAGTCAGCGATACGGATTAACAAATTTGTCTCGGGTTTGTTCTATTCGCATACATTTCTCACAAAAAATACGTATATATATATATAAAAATGAATCAAAGGAGTACCTACTCTAATATTTCTAGATGTATCGAGTGGTATCGGCTCAAAATACCTATCAGATTATACTATCACTCATAATAAAAAAATTACAAAAAAAAAACTCAAAAATGATTTCTGCAATTCCATTGTTTGAAATTTCCGAGTTTCAGCACGAAACACCAGAACAGCACACGTTCGCGATACGAATTATTGGATGAGGAATACAAAAACACATTATTATCACTCATTGTTTAGGGAACACTCCGTTTGGAACGAAAAATAATTCCTTCGCGTATTTTTCAATGTTGATCACAAAATTCGACCGTATTCGATGACATCTAATATAAAACTGTCTTGATTCACCACCTGGTCCCTAATGAATGACTAATGAGTTGAATCATATGCTGCTAACCGATTAATTTCCGAAAGAATTATTTATCTATGACTAATATGATGATAATGGAATTATACGGGGGAGAGTCTATGACTGATGATGATTATACGGGGGGAAAAGAGATATACAGTATACAAAATATAAGATGAACGGATATACTGACAGTAATATTTTCAAAATATCTGGATATGTTCTGTTAACTGGAAAGAAGAGGAAAATAATGAACAATGTGGTCTACTTTTTATAAGCGCGCATCCAAATTGACATTTGGTATAATGATAATAATAATAATAATATGTTTATTTCGGCCAAAATGGCTCACATGTCCCGGTCTCAACTTTTCATTTACTATTTACTGATATTTGGAACAGATACAGGGTGATCAGAATTCTGAATCTTGAACCAGCCGAAACATCCAACCCCTTGTTCCTCGCCAGTCATCAATGTACTTTACTTGTAAGGAAACAAATTGCTTTCGATTGTGAAGAAATGATGAGGACCAACTAAGACATACGCCTCTTATTCTATACATTTCTAATTTCGACCTCATTTTTTGATGGTTGACACAGTCGGAAGCTCGACTAAGATCACTCAGATAAAGAATTACCGCTGGACATTGATCTGATTCAACGTATTCTATGGTTTTGTTCGGTAATGAGAACATAGCTGTGTTCGTAGAATTTTCAGAACGAAATCCATGCTGCCTGTTACTCAAGACAGAATTGTTTATCAAGAAACGAATAAAGACGTTCCAAAAAGGCATTTATTTGAAAATTTTCGAGAGTCCACAAGGGACTGTTACAGGACGATAATTTTCCACAAGGGTTGTGTCTTTCTTTCTGAAAATAGGAGTGACTTCACCAGTTTTTAACTTGTGTGGAAAATCACCTCTCATGAATGACGTATCTCCACACGGAAAAAACAGATTCAGAATTTTTTTTTTATACTTCTCAAGAAACTGCTCTGCTGCTTTCGGGTCAGGAAGATAGGTAATCGTATATAGAATCATGATATCAGAAAATAACTACTTGTGAAATCGTATGGTAGACTCCACACGACAAAAACAGAAATTTCAATTGACCTTTTTTTGTTGATACTTTTGCAAAAGTTGGTCAGCTGTTTACTGGCCAGGGAGATAGGTAATCGTGTATAGAATAACGATATCAAAAAAAAATTTCCTGCTCAATCGTATTGTAGACTCCACACGAAAAAAACTGAAATTTCGAAAACATAAAGGGGATTTTTTCTTCGTGTAGAATCCACTGTCACATTTCGTGAACAATGGTTTTTTGCTCGTCTGAACATTAATTGATTATTTTCTGATATCATGATATTTACTCACGATTACCTATATTTCTGACTCGAAAGCAGCTGAGGAGTTTATTGCAAAAGTATCGAAAACAAATATATTTTCGTGTAGAGTCTGCCATACGATTTAGCAAGGATTCATTTCTTGATAGCATGATTCTTCACATAATTAACTATCTTCCTGACCCGAAAGCAGCTGATGAGTATAGTTTTTCTTCAAAATTATCGGAAAATTAATTTTCCAACAATCTGCTTTTTTCGTGTGGCGTCTATATCATACGATTTAGCAAGGAATCATTACCTGATAGCATGATTCTACAACATAATTTCCTATCTTCCTGAATCGAAAGCAGCTGGGCAGTTTTATGCAAAAGTATCGAAAATAAAATATATTTGAAATTTTATAGTCTTATATAGTTTTTCTTCAAAATTATCGGAAAATTAATTTTCCAACAATCTGATTTTTTCGTGTGGAGTCTATCTACGAATTAGCAAGGAATCATTACCTGATAGCATATGATTCTACAACATAATTACCTATCTTCCTGAATCGAAAGAAGCTGGGCAGTTTTATGCAAAAGTATCGAAAATAAAATATATTTGAAATTTTATAGGGTCTTTGGTAAGGAATGATTACTCGATTGAGAATGTTTCGAGACAAAAGCAACTGTGCAGTGCTTTCACAATGCTTATTATTGTTATCAATCATGATAATAATGGGTTCGATATTCCCGCTGATTGATTTTGTTCTTGTTATTATCAACATCGGCTTCATCACAAACAAAAGCAATTGAGCAATTTCCATATTCGACACCCAAAAAGGGGGAAACGCGTGCCACTGGTCAATCGGGAAAGTTCGCAAGTTCTGGCAGCCAGCGCTGGCAGCCAACTTCAAGTAGGTGAATATATTGACAAGATAGAGTCTGTGTGCTCCAAACGAGCGCTTCGCGCACGTTCAATATAATAAATCCTTCTATGAATCAGCGAATCACTATCGGACCAATGAACTCAATATTGTTGTTTACATTGAGTTCGATGTATTGGATTTTTGAAAAGATATTCTATCAACATAAACAGCACCTATATTGTTCATGATCTAAGGTTATGGCCATGACGCCATGACCCATGACAATGTGTGACAGTGACAGTTTCAATAATTATTAGTGTCAATGTTGGAATGTGTGTGGAATGCCATGCTTTATTTATTATTATTAAAGTACTACGTTTTAAGTGCATTTTACGTAATTCCGCTAGGATGCAATTAGTTATTCGTATTTCGTAGTATTCATTGAACCACCAGTACGTTTCTTCCAAAATGGGAGAATCCAATAATGACGGTGAGAAAAAACTCATCAGTCAAAAAGACACTATCACTGATAAGGATTTGGCTCTGAGTTTTGTGGAAGATAGGCATCTGGGGCCCGTAATTGGTATAGAATGTGTAACACAAATGTGGAGGATGAAGGAAAGAGTAAGTTCCTGGATAATTATACAATTTGAAATATGTATGAGGCTTCCTCAATTTTATTTCCAGATGAAAACTGTGAGTGTTGCTCTCGTTTTATGTTTGAATGTGGGAGTAGATCCACCTGATGTAGTTAAAACCCAACCATGTGCTAAGCTAGAGTGTTGGATAGGTGAGTATTTCAATAGTTCAGAGTCCCTTGACATATTTTGAGAAAATTTCAGATCCATCATCAATGTCTTCATCAAAAGCTCTGGAAAAAATCGGGCAAAATTTGCAGGCTCAATATGAAAGATGGCAGCCTAGGGCACGGTATAAACAGTCTCTAGATCCTACCTCTGATGAGGTGAAAAAATTATGCACCTCCCTTCGCAGAAATGCTAAAGAAGAGAGGGTTCTCTTCCATTATAATGGCCATGGTGTTCCTAAACCTACCTCAAATGGTGAAATATGGGTTTTTAATAGGGTAAGGGTATTATGGAAGTTTTTCAAAATTTGTTGATGCCTGGCTAATAGTAATGATTTATTTTTTTCAGACTTATACACAGTATATTCCTCTATCAATATATGATTTACAAACTTGGATGGGAGCACCATCTATTTATGTGTATGATTGTTCCAATGCTGGAATCATTGTTGATTCTTTCAAACAGTTTGCTAATCAACATCAAACAGAATATGAGGTAATTATTATCCATCATTTAAATGCATTGAAATTTTTTTTTTTCAAAAATTTTTTCTGGTATTCATGTATTTTTGTCTGAAAAACACGAATTTGATAATGAAAATGTGAACAAACCATTATTTATCAAGATATTTCACTATAATGTTACAGAGTTTACCTTCTTTTCTGCCTGTCTTCTGGATGGCATTTAGAACAATTTGCCCTTCTTTTTTCATCATTGGACATCATTGGAAATTATACAGTGTGTCCCACTTACCATGCTCACCATGGGTATCTTTTTAACAGTGAGAGATATGAGGTCGGTTAAATGACACCAAATGTGGAGTTTGTCAAGGCCAACTATAATGTGAAAATATATTTTGATAAAATCTATTTGTTTTTGTTTTATATGCAAAAAAGCAAAAAACAGATTTTGATCATTTTCATGTCTCCTCCATAACTTCTTTATTTATGAAAATATTCAAATAGGAATTTCACATTCTCATGGCATTTCTTCAAAGTGATTTCGAAAAAAAATATGAAATTCATTCCAACTCTTCTAGAATTTGAGATATCAGCACCAACTTTAGTTTTTCAAATGTAGGTCATAGCTCACTATGACTTAGTTACAAATAACTTTTTTTTCTCTCACAGATGATATGTCACAGTAATAGTTTTGTGTTGATAACAACGAGGGTTATCTTCATTTATAAAAAAATCATTTGGAAGCCGCCATCTTGAATTTATAAATTTTAACTAAAAAATCATGATGTCCAACCTCAAAAACCCCCACTTACTAATTTTGAATGGAATCGGACCAAATCTTGTCCGCCATCTTGGAGCAGCCATTTTTTTTTTATTTCAACAAAAATTCCATAATGTATTGTCACCGAAATTATGAACACCTGCCAAATTTCAAGTTAATCGGAGTTATGGAATTTTTGTTGAAATAAAAAAAAATTGGCTGCTCCCAGATGGCGGACAAGATTTGGTCCGATTCGATTCAAAATTGGTAGGTGGGGGTTTTTGAGGTCGGAGATCATGATTTATTTGTTGAAATTTATAAATTCAAGATGGCGGCATCCAAATAATTTTTTGTTTTTGTATAAATGACGATAACTCCGTTGTTATCAACACAAAACTATTACTGCAACACATCATCTGAAAGAGGAAAAAAAGTTATTTGTAACTAAGTCATAGTGAGCTTTGACCTACATTTAAGAAACTAAAGTTGGTGCTGATATCTCAAATTCTAGAAGAGTTGGTATAAATTTCATATTTTTTTCGAAATCACTTTGAAAAACTGCCATGAGAAATTGAGAATGTGAAATTCCTGTTTGAATATTTTCATAAATAAAAAAGTTACAAAGGAGACATGAAAATGATCGAAATCTGTTTTTTGCCTATAAAAAAAAACGAATAGATCTTATCAAAATATTTTTTCACATTATAGTTGGCCTTGACAAACTCCACATTTGGTGTCATTCAACCGACCTCGTATCTCTCACCGTTAAAATGATACCCATGGTGAGCATGGTAAGTGGGACACACTGTATATGTATGGCACATTTTTTCCTATTATATGAGTCAACTAGGAATATGATTTTCTTGTGATTGATCCATATTGATTGAAAAGAAGGAAGAATATCATTTAGAATAATGGTATGTGTAATGTCATTCAAAAGGTGTTCAAAACAATCTGTTGACATTTGACATCTAGTATTTGGATTGACTTTTGATTAAATGGCCATCATCTGGTATGCTTCTTCACTAAATATGAAAAACTTGCCATAAAAATTAAATGAGTTTCTAAATGCCATTTTTCATTTTAGCCCTTCATATTCGATATACAGGGTGTCAAAGTTGGAAATTAAAAACTGTTTTTTTCTAATTACTCGCGTATTTAATGAGATATCAATCTCAAAATTGGTACATTATTTCAGAACAAAGAGTTACATCCTGTGAAGAGAACAAAACAGAAAATAACTGTCAAATATTTGAAATACTGGGGGTCAAGTACACACTCACCCCCATATTTTTTTTGTACGTGCGCTAATGACTTCCAATATATTTTTCTTCAAGTGTTCAATCCTTTTTGAGTATTTTTTGTCTCTTGTAAAATTTCGATAAAATTGTTTGTTTTTAAGATAATTCGAAAAGTACTGGTTATTGTTTGATGCCTATGCGGCAATGGTAATCTCATAATGTTCACATACTCCTATTTATTTCGTCGAAATTGGAAGAGGGCGTATTTTTTTTACGTACGAGAAGGTAAATATGGAAATACCGGGTGCTCAGAGCGAATGTATTAAAATTATTTTTACAAAAAAAAAAAATGAAGAAAAAGTGAGGACACGTGTCGAATAAAATTTTTTTGCCAATCGAACGGCGTGAAATTTTTTTACGGGGTTAAATAAAAAAAAAACGTTTTTTGGAATTTCGCGCGTAAATAATGATTTTAGGAGGATGGGGGGGGGGGGGGAATGTCGATTGACGAGCCCACCCTTTTAAAGGATTATTAAATTTTGTAAAAAAAAATTAAAATCGGTTTGAGCGGTTCTGGGTGGTGCGGAATTTTTTGAAAATATTTTCGAGCCTCTTCCCCACCGTATGGTATGTCGGGCGCGAACGAACGGGAAATAAAATCGAAAAAAATTGAAAAAATATATTTTCGGAAATTTTTGGTGAAATCATGATATTCATGATTTTAATAGCTACTTAATGAAAGAAATAGCAGATCAGGATTGTCTATGGATGTATGAAAGATTTTGTGCATAAGCCACATATTTTTCAAAGGCTAAGGTTTTCTTTAATCAAAAGGGCTCGCATGTGTATTCTAAAAATTCATATCGAGCAATTCATTTAGACGTGTTGAATTTCTATAAATTTTTTTTTCGTAAAAATTATTTCAATACATTCGCTCTGAGCACCCGGCATTTTCATATTTACCTTTTCGTACGTAAAAAGTTACGCCCTCTTTCAGTTTCGACGAAATAAATAGGAGTATGTGAACATTATGAGATTACTGTAAGTTGCATAGGCATCAAACAATAACCAGTACTTTTCGAATTATCTCAAAAACAAATGATGTTATCGAAATTTTGCAAGAGACAAAAAATACTCTAAAAGGATTGAACACTTGGAGAAAAATAGATAGGAAGTCATTAGCGCACGTACAAAAAATAAATATGGGGATAAGTGTGTACTTGACCCCCAGTATTTAGAATATTTGACAGTTATTTTCTGTTTTGTTCTCCTCACACGATGTACCTTTTTGTGCTGAAGTAATGTACCAATTTTGGAATTGATATCTTATTAAATACGCGAGTAATTAGAAAAAAACAGTTTTCAATTTCCAACTTTGACACCCTGTATATCGAATATAAAGGTCTAAAATGAAAAATGGTATTTAGAAACTCATATTGTTTTTGTTCAAGGAATATATGGTTAATGGATTGACCTCCTTTTAGCGGACACCCTGTATAAAAATGTGTTATTGAAGTACAGGGTGGCCAACTAAGAATCCAGAGTTCGATACCTCTGTTGTCTTGAGAGATACAAACAAAGTCGTGCATTCAAATTGAAGTGATAACCGAGCTTCACATTTCGAAATTTCTTTGAAATACACAGGGTGTTCCGTAAGGTCACAGCACATCAAAGCTATGTTTTTTTCATTGGAACACCCTATATTTTATTCCATTTTTGAATTCTCCCTGAAGATCTGATTTCAACGATGTATCATACTTAGGGTCTAGCAGTGAAAGTTACTGGCATATAGGGTGTGCAAAATCGAGATTTTCCAAGTTCAGGATTTTTTTCTGTCGAAACTGTTCATTATTCGTCGAAACGGTTTACATGTCCCTATCTCAACTTTTCACTCACTATCAATTGGTGTTCAATTGACATTTAATTAGAACAAATTATAAATTTAGATTTTTTGACCACCTTGTATCAATTTCAATTGAAGACCAATTGATACTGAGTGAAAAGTTGAGATAGGGACATGTAAACCGTTTTGACGAATAATGAATAGTTTCGACACAAAAAAAGTCCTGATTTTGGAAAATCTTGATTTTTCACACCCTTTATCTCAGTGAATATTACTGCTAAACCCCGAGTATGTTGGAATCAGCTCTTCAGGGAGAATCCAAGAATGCAATAATATATAGGGTGTTCATATGAAACAAACATAAATTTGATATGCTGTTACCTCATATATTCCAAAATAATTTTGAAATGTGCAGCTCGGTTATTATTTCAATTTTGATACATGACTTTTTTTTGTATCTCTCAAGACAACAGAGAAATCGAACTTTGGAGTCTTAGTTTGCCACCCTGTACATCATAAGTATATAAAGTGTCTAATTGCAAAATAAGAAGAGCAAGTAGCTCTAAATGCATCCAACACAAGGGGAAAAAGTAGGCAAAATAGTGGTTAGTTCACAATTTCATTATCAAATTCGCGTTTTTCAGGCAAAATTAAGTACCAAAAAAAAATTTTCAAATAAAAAACTATCACATGATATATATGCAGTTTTACCAAACACTGAATTGGCTTTGGAATGAACATGAAAACTGGGCCAAACAAAATATCTACACAGATCTCCAATATCTGAAATCAAAATTGAACATATTTTCAGGTATTAGGCATTTTGCATGTTTAGGTTGGCTACAAAACTGTCAAATGTAAATGACAGCACCACTACTGTTTTATTTATTCTATTTCTAACAGATCAAAAACTGTTGAATTGCCAATAATTATTGAAGATAGAAGCAAGTATGACTTGTTGAACCCTTCATTCTTTAAACTAATTATTATTGACAACAGACAATGCATACACCAAATGTCATTCAATTTGACAGTGGTAGCTACCAAGGAATATCATGAAATGAAAACAGAGATTTTGATACTGAAGTTTTTTTTGTCCTGCAAAAATGTCAGAATTATATGATTAGAAAAAAATTGTAAACAAACAAAATTTCATTGCATTCTATACAGGGTGTTTTATATTTCAATCA